TTCAGGCGATCTGCACAAATCGAGATGATGATGATGATGGCGGTGATGGTCGCAAGGATGCCACTGACGAGATGTCAAGTTATCCATTCGACAAACTCTAGGATAGCAAATAAGATTTGAGATCTGTGAATGAGGAAGAGGAAATGGAGGATGAGGTTGGGGTCCGGGAGCCACCAACAACATGCTTTTAGAGAAGAAGTCATGCAACAGAATTTTGAGTGGATCAAATATTCTGACAAAAAATAACTCCATGTCATATGCAAGAATGTTGGAGACGAATGTCAGTGGGAGTTTCAAGCTATACGGATGAAGAAAACGTTCATTTGAGTGATTCGCAAAGTGCAGAACAACCACACTTGCTCCTCTTCCATACCTTCTAAAGACCACCGCCAACTGAATGCAAAGAAAGTGAGTGTCACTATCAAGCACTAGATCAAGGCACAACCAGACATCACCATCAAAGCTATCATGGTCGAGGTGAAAGATCGTCAAATGTACACAATCAGGTACAAGAAGGCACGTTATGAAAAGAAAAATGTCATGGTTGATGTGTATGGCGATTCGGATTCCTCATGCGCTCTCTTTTCTAGATTGATGGTTGTGAAAGAGGAGTCTACCCCCGATATTGTTTTGTGCCAAGGTTCAACAATGTATAAACTGTGATCAAGTTCGTGTCCCAAATGAGTTGATGCTTCACCGCTTATTGTGGTCATTGAGGCCATGCGTTGATGGGTTCGATTTATGCCTTTCATTGATCCAAGTAGATGACACTTTCCTTTTGGAAAAGTACAAGGGCACCCCTCTTATTGCCACTGGTGTAGATGGGAATATGCTGATTTTTCCACTAGCATATGCTTTATTCGAGGGAAAGAACGATTTAAGTTGGGTTTGTTTTCTTTTGAGCAGCTACATGGTCACGTCACACACCAACAAGGCATCATAATCATTTTTCGACCGGTACGCTGGGGTTAGACATGTCGTGCATGGCTTTCTCGACGAATGAGGATGGACGTGGTGTTGGTGCATTCTCCACTTTCTAGCCAATTACCAACCCAAATATGACAGAAAGACCGTCAATAAATCTTTATGGCAATGCATGTATATTTTTTGGTATTATTTTCCTATTTTTTGTGCCCATATTTTATCTTGTATTATAAAATTTGTGTTTTTTTCATTTCGAAGCTATTGCTGACCAACCCAAAATATATAAAGAGATTATGAAGGCTATCAAGAAGATACACCAAGAGTGGGCAACATGGACGGAGCATCAGGATCTATACATGTTGTCCTTTCATATGGATGCTAGAGCTGGGTTTGGGATCGCCACTACAAACCACAGTGATGTTGCTTATTCAGGCAGACCACGACAAGAGGAGGCTTAGCTCGACATTCGCTCTTCATCCATGCAACTCAAGAGGTTTCTGAAGAGCTTACTAAAAAAAGAGGTCTTGGGAGCATCCCTGGTTGGTGCACTCTCCACGACGTGACTTTCAATTTCCAAACCGTCAACCTACGACAAAAATATTGAATAAGTTAGAGGTAACAGTTTATTTTAAAGTGAAAAAAAAAAACTAACTATGGTACTAAGAGTTCACTTACCATAGAACCAATCACCACACCTTTTTTTTAAATCCAGCTCAACATGAACTTTCGATACCACTTCATGAACTCATCATGGTACCCATCGACCTCATTTCAGGGTTACTAAGAACCAACCACGCACCTCTATTATCCTATATATTCAAGTAGTATTGGTGTTTTTGACACCAATCCCTTGCTTTGTTGCACAAGTCCATCCGATGGCAGCGGGGTTTCTAGAATTGGTTGCTCCAAACAAAACTGTCTCATGATTTCTCTCGTAGGTGCCACTCAACGATGTACAACAAATTAAAGGCCCATTTCACAACCAGTTCTCATGATTTCGAGCTGTATGGATGAAGAAAACATTTGTTTGAGTGATTCGCAAAGTGCAGAACAACCACACTTGCTACTCTTCCATACTTTCCAAAGACCATCGCCAATTGAATGCAAAGAAAGTGAGTACCACTATCAAGCACTAGATCAATGCTTAACTAGACATCACCATCAAAGCTATCATGGCAGAGGTGAAAGATTTTCAAATGTACACAATCAGGTACAAGAAGGCATGTTATGAAAAGAAAAATGCCATGGCTGATGTGCATGGCGATTGGGATTCCTCATACGCTCTCGTTTCTAGATTGATCGATATGAAGGAGGAGTCTACCCCGGGTTTTGTTTTTGTGTCGAGGTTCAACAATGTATAAACTGATGATCAAATTGGGGTCCAAAATGAGTTGATGTTTCACCGCTTATTGTGGTCATTCAGGCCATGCGTTGATGGTTTCGATTTCTACCTTCCAATGATCCAAGTAGATTACACTTTCCATTTTAGAAAGTACAAGGGCATCCCTCTTATTTACACTGGTGTTGATGAGAATATGCTGATTTTTCCCGTGGCATTTGCTTTAGTCGAGGGGGAGAACTATTTAAGTTGGGCTATTTTTAGCAGCTACATGGTCATGTCACACACCGACAAGGCATCACAATCATTTTTGACTGGCACGCTAGGGTTAGACATGTCGTGTATGGCTTTCCCGATGAATGAGGATGGACGTGGCGTTGGTGCATTCGCCACTTTCTAGCCACTTACCAACCCAAATATTGCAGAAAGATCGTCAATAAATCTTTATGGCATTGCATGTATATTTTTTTTATAATATGTTGCTATTTTTTATGCCCAGATTTTATCTTGTATTATATAATTTGTGTTTTTTTTTCATTTCTAAGCGATTGCTTACCAAACCAAATTATATAAAGAGAATATGAAGGCTATCAGGAAGATACACCGAGAAGGGGCAGCATGGACGGAGCATCATGATCAATACATGTGGTAATTTCATATGGATGCTAGAGCTAGTTTTGGGATCGCCACTACTAACCACAGTGATGTTGCTTATTCAGGAAGACCACGAAAGATGAGGCTCAGCTCGACATTCTCTCTTCCGTGGAGGCTCAGATGGGGAGGGGGGTTGGATGTCACCATCATGAAATGAGGGGCATGGTGGTTTAGGTTGGGACGGGTAGGCTATGACGTTCCTTCGCTACTCTCAAGTGCAAGTGCAACTCAAGAGGTTTCTAAAGAGCTTACTCAAATAAGAGTTCTTAGGAGCATCCCTGGTTGGTGCACTCTCCATGGCGTGACTTTCAATTTCCAAACCGTCGACCTACGACAAAAATATTGAATAATTTAGAGGTAACAGATTATCTTAAAGTGAAATAAACTAAATATGACACTAAGAGTTCACTTACCATAGATACCATTACAACACCGTTTTTTGAAACTCATCTCAGTGCAAACTTTCGATACCACTTCATGTACTCATCATGGTAACCATCAGCCTCATTTCAGGGTTACTATGAATCAGCCACACACCTCAGTTATCCCATATATTCAAGTAGTATTGGTGCTTTTGACACCAATCCCTTGCTTTGTTGCACAAGTCCATCCCATGGCGGCGGGGTTTCCAGAATTAGTTGCTCCAAACAAAACTGCCTCATGATTTCTCTCGTAGGTGCCACTCAATGATGTGCCAACAAATTAGAGGCCCCTTTCATAGCCAGTTCTCTTGATCTTTGGGCCATCTTGGATTGTGCAACTCTTGGACATATTGAGAAACGAGGGTCCCAGATCACCTACAATTGACAAACATTCACAATTAGTACTCTTGAAGCTCAACTCTTGTAGACACAAGACACAAAGTATGTACAATAATTGACATGAATTGTGCCTAATTCCACCAAAGCCTGTCGAACTGCTCACGATAATAAAACAAAGAGTGCTCGGTTTGATGGTCATTTGTGTTTGCAGCAACTAAGCTTTGAGCATCCACATAGCTGAGACTCAACAAACAGAACATGACGTGAGATAAAGACACAACGGGATTAGGGATCAAGACAATGATAGACACTCTGTTGATGCGAGTAGCAAAAAAAAGAAAAAGAAAAAAAAAGACAAGGACGAGACCTCGGTTGAAGTTTATTGGAGGTGTAGGGATGTAACCAAGGATAGCACAAACATCGAAATACTCAAATTTTAGAGTAATCGGGAGGCTGGTTAAAGAAAGTAGTGAAGGGCACTTTACCACGCAAGGAAGACGAAGGCAGATGATTAATAAGATAAACAATAGTGGTAAAAGATAGGACTTGTAGGTCAATGGAAGACAAGCTTGGTGTAAGAGAGTGATAATTGTTTCAACGACATGACAATGTTTACGTACGGACAGACCATTGTATTGATGAGTTTATGGTGGAGTGAGAATATGGGTGATACCATAGTGAGAAATATCAGTTTAAGCTTGATGAATTCACCACCACCATTCGTATAAATGTGACAAATAGAGGTTTGGAAAAAGAATTCAACCAACTTCTTGAAGGAAAGAAAAACATACAACACATCGGACTTCAATTTAAGTGGATAAATCCATGTGTAACGATTAAAATGGTCGACAATAACCAAATAATAAGAATAACCATCCACAGAGGTTACAAGAGCAGGACCCCAAACATTAGAACACAAGAGATCAAATCGACGAGTACTGGATAGACTCAAATCACCAAAAGGAAGCTTATAATCTTTGTTTGAAAGACAAGAATTACAATGAGTAAGCGACCGACTCGAATGAGGAAGTGAATGAACACGCAAAATATTAAAAAGAGATTTGGACGACGGATTTCCTGAATGATGATGCCAGAAATCAGGCAAGTGACTAGTGGTAACCAAAGCGACACGAACATCAACAGACTTGGCAGGAAGCTCATATGTATTACCTCTATTCCTTCTGGTCAGCAGGGGCGCCCCCGTGCTTAGGTCCTTCACAACGAACGAATTAGCAAAAAATTCAGCAGAGACCAGATTCGTGAGACAAAGCTTAGTAACCGAAATTAAGAGATGCTTAATACTTGATACATATAGAATATCACGCAAAGTAAGACATTTATTCGAGGCGAAAAGATACGAGGAGCCAATGTGAGTAATCCGAAAACCTGAACCATCACCCAAACAAATATCATATGGACCATTGTAGTCATAGTATATAAAGATTTACAAGATTGTTGGTCACATGATGATTTGCCGCAGATTCTGTAAGCTAACCACTATTAGAGGAAGAAGGATACGTCGCAGGCGGATGAGAGGTATAGTTCTCCTGCGGTGGTCGTTTGTGAGGGAAGAGTTGAAAAAAGTTATTTGCGGTGTGACTTGGATTCTCACCAAAATGACAATAGATAAGCTAGCAACCACACGGAGACTCATCATCGGCTCTAGAGGACTCCCAAGACATAGAGGAAGTAGAGGGTGACCTCGAGGAGGAGACATAGCCACAACCACTGCCGCCACTAACAACACCACCTCGGCGTCCATGCCCATGACAATATTGAGTAGCATGGGTCGTAACTGGTTGTTCGACCGAGGGACAGATAGCACGAAGATCGCTCTCCAGAGCTTGAAGAAGATCAACTAGGTCTCAATCTTAGGGGGAACATCAAGAGCACGGATGCCATCAAAGAACTCACTATATTCGGGGCCAAGCCCACCCAGACAGACAATGATGAGTTCCTCATCGCGGATTACTTCATTGGCAAGAGCAAGTTCAGAGGCACGTGACCGTAGAGCCTGAATGTAGGTGGCAATGTCGTGGTCACCCCTCTTTTCACCAAGGAGACAATCTCGCAACGTCATGATGAGAGTAGGAAGTACCAACACATGTACGTTGAAGAATATCCCAAGCCTCACACGATGTTTGAGTTGTGGCGATAAAAGGACAAATTGAAGTCGAGATTGAAGCAAAGATACCATTGAGAAGAATTTTGTCCTGGTGGAACCAGTGAATGTAGGCTGGATTTCGAGTTTGAACACCATTGACAAGAGTAGATTCAACCGGCGCAGGAACAGTGATGTCAAGATAGCCAACCAGATCAAAACCATAGATAAGTGAGGAAAGCTGGGCTCGCCACGACGGAAAATTGGCGACAGTGAGCTTGAGAGGAAGCGAGGCAGCTGGATCGAACGTGACCAGCTACGGACCGACAAAGGGAGTCTCACCGAATAGACCTGACAAGGTTGACTCGAAAGACATGGCAAGAGCAGGAGCATCAAGGACGTGAGAAAAGTTAGGTTTTGGACCTTGGCATGTAAGGGATTTCAACCATGTGTATTCCATTACGTAAAAAATGGTATTTATACCCAAATACATAAAAAGGATATGAATACAAAATACACGTACGAGAAGGAATATAAGACGACTAGATACAAAGAGTACAAGTTAGATGAGGACTAGGATTTCTCCCTAATGCCAATAATTTTGTCGAATGAATCTCAGGAGCAAGTCCATGGGTGAGCTGCAAAAAATGGTGTTTAGTCCACCTTGCGTTGTTGTGTACAAAGTCAAAGTCATTCCTTTCTGATAAGGTCAATACTATGGTGTCGCTATTAAAACTGCAACACCGGTAACACTATCTTTGAATTGGTCCACATAGGAGTGATGTGGCACGGGTTGGTTAACAAAACCCAAACTAGATCTAGTGACCATTAACTGGCCCAAATCACTATTGAGCCAAGTAATAGAGTATTGTTTCGTCTTTTGGTTTTACTTTTTACTTTTTATATTAATATTAATTTAAAAAATCTATTGAATGTTGACTTGATACATTTTTATCGAGCAATAAAAAACCAAAATGAAAACCAGAAGCCGTCCATCGTCTTCCTTGCTCTTGTTCTTCGATGGACGGTGATAAGCAGTTCTGACCAACTTCTCGATCGGTGATTCAGTCTCTTATCTCTACCGTAGGGGCATCCACTAAACTCCTCTATATTCCTCCTCATTTATTTTGTGAGAAAGAAAACGCATCGAATCCTTCATTCCGACCGACACTCTATTCCCGTCGAACTGCTTCGTTGTCGCCATACCACATGATCCCAAGCCAAAGAAAAATAAAATTTCCCTCCCTATGCGTCTTCCCTCCAACTTCGATTTGGGCAGTACGACCACATCAAGACTACTGAGCCAAACAAACAGAGAGAGCGATGAAAAATCGACGTTCAGATTAAGGATGTTGATTGGGGATAAAATCATGGAAAGAAGAGATGTCGAGGACGTAGACGTAGACGGTGAACGAATTTAGTGGAGGTGAATCGAAGAGGTTGTATAGGTTAATGGATTGCGGCGGATAAGTTCGTCGGAAAATTTTCTTGCTTTGATAGTCCACAGGAGTTGGAGGGTGAGGAAGACGATGGTTGCTTCTACTTCTCGTTCTCCATTGTTGTTCGGCTTGGGCCCGATCACTAACCAAACAATAAGGGTTGGGTTTGAATATCCAAAGCAATGCTACATCACTTCTACGTGGACCAATCTAAAACGGCTCCACCAGTGCCACACTTTTAAGTGCGCCACCCTAATGTCGGCCTTCTGATAGTGTAAGTAAAGGCTGGTGCAGGCCCATGGCTAGAGTCTACACAGATTGGGCTCATATCGATAGGCCACTAATAGCTCATATGTTATGATAATGGAAGTCAGCCTGTAGTAGGCCCACGACTAGAGTCTACACAGATTGGGCTCGTATCGAGTGGCCCAAACCTTCCTGTATCTTTCCAAATTTGATCAGGGGAAAACTAAAAATGAAAAAATGAAAAATAAATCGATCACAGTTCAGAATTCACAGACCCACTAATCTGAGCACTCTCTAGTCTCTAATTCGTGAATAATAAATTATTATAAACCTCACTCTCTCCTCCCGATTCTTCTTCCCAATCTTCTCCGTCGCTTCCTCTCCCCCACTCCTCCTTCCGGCTAAACCCCACTTCTTTCCCAACTACGCCGCCGCTGCCGCAATCCTACATCCCCGCCGCTCCGCCGTATCCCGGTGGTGCATTTCCATCCCCATACATCCTCGTTCTACTCTAAACTCTCCCTTCGGCAATGGCGGCCACTCCCGTCCCTGAATCCGCCGATGGCCCCGTCCTCAGCCTAATCAACAAGCGCCTCCGCGCCCTCCGCAAGAAGCAAAACCGAATCATCCAGATGGAAGAGTCCGTCGCCCAGGGGAAGGCACTCAACAACGAACAAAGGGAAGTCCTCCGCTCCAAACCCTCCGTCTCCGCCGCAATCGACGAGCTCGAGAAGCTCCGCCAGCCTCTCTCCGTCGCAGTCTCCGAGGAAATCGAGCTCGCCATCGAGCGGCACCGCACCGAGTCTCAACCCTCCCCCGATGTCCCCGCTGCTGCTGCTGATGTCGCCGCAGCTGAAGAGGAGAAGAGTGGCGAGACCGAGCGCAGAGAAGAAGAGGAGGGGAGTCAGCCCGAAGCTTTCGATTCCATGGTCGGGGATCTCTTGAATTTGTTGTACTTCGGGGCGCTGTTCGACGTGAAGTCGCAGAACGATTTCACGGCCACTATGTTGAGCCGGACGCACGAGAGGGGCTGCTGCTTGACCTACGATTACGTGACGGACGATGCCACCGATCTGCTGAGCGAGAGAGATTTGGACATGATTTCTACTCTGAGTGGGTTGCTCATCTCCCGCCCCGTGGATTCGAGCTTGTCGCACAAGAATGCTTTGCAGCGGTGTGTTGAGCATGCCAAGTTGTGGCTGGCCAATGCTGATTGTCCAGTCGATGACAATGCCGGCATTTCCTGTAAGTACTTCTTCTTCTTCCGCCCTTCTTGTTTTCCTTGCCTTTTGCCTTTTTCCTTGTCGCTTCAATGTCTTTGAACTTTTGGGGGACTTTTGTATTCTGTAGATGCAGGATTGAGGGAGAGGCTCAACAAGATTATGGCTTCTGACTATTTTACAACCTCCCCTGAAAGGAAAGCCTCCGCTGAGGTTGCTGCCGCGGCTGCTGCTGGCAATTACGTCCATTTCCAAGTACCGGTGCACGGGATGCCCATTGCAGTTCCTGTTCAGGTTGAAAGCCATTCTGTGGAGTACCAGCCACAGGTACTACATCTTGTCTCCCTTGTGGGTCGAATGCAAATATATGGATGCTGGTGTTGAATTTTGTTGAAATGCGACCTCTTAAAGTTATCAATCATAGCATTGCCATTGCTTGGCACCAAGTGTTCTTAGCAGCCAATAAGTATGTAAATTAATTATATGCTAGGAAAGTTGGGTTCTTTTTATTTGAAATGTAGTGTAGTAGTGCTGTTTATAGGTTATGTTCATAGGTTCTGGCAATAGAATATAGATTTTTGTTTATAGGTTGTTAGCCATGTCCCATTGTGAGTGAATGGATAAATATTAGAAGAAGTTGCCTGTGTTTCTTGGTTTTGTAATTGTTCCTCAGATATATGCTGGAATGCATTCAGTTTGTCATGTTGTATTGTTGAAAGACTTTTCAGTTTACAGGAACTGTAGTTATGTAAGTCTACCTTTATAGAAACAAGGGTTGAGGTGGTTGTTTGGAAGACAGTTTTTGCCAGCACTTCATGGATGGTACATTATGGATGACTACATTGACATGTGGGTAGTAATAAGTGATTGGTCATCAATTCTTGATATCTTTTAAAAAGAAAATCCAATTGTTGCTGTCTGTGGAGTTTTCTTTTCCTGTTCGTGGTATTCACCTGGTGCAATTTTTTTAGACTCTCATCCTCAAAGCGTACTTTCATATTGAGTCTAGGTTTGGGTTCGCCAGATTCTCTTGAAGCTATTCCTTTGCCAAGTGAATTGAGCTTGAGTTGTGTGCTGGTTGTTACCAGCTATTTGGTTACTTACATCTTGAAGAAATCATCCTCATTTCTCAGTGTTACTGGATGGTTTGTGTGGTGCATCTGGTTGAATCTGATTTTGTGCTTCTAGTAGTTGAGAATCAAGTTCTTTGTTCGGTATGCATTTGCTGCTTTTCTCCATTTAGAAAATGGAGCCAGGGTCAGCTAGCAGAATCAGGCTGTATAAAGAACACTGTTCTTCGATGTTTAATCCCTTCCAAGCTGTAGCCGCTGTTATTAACACAGCACAGAGATGATAATGAGCAGTCTTGCCCTCTTAGCTTTTTGCACTTAAGTCTTCATTATGCCTGTGAAGAAGTGTTTCAAACTATTCACTTATTGTCTCCTTCATTATTCAATGTGTATGAGTTGGCCTTTTGTAAAAGTTTCTAGAAGAAGTCTTTAGTTAACTGTCTTGTTCCATTAGACACTCCTCTTGGATATCCATTGCAGTTCCTGTTCTATATTCATTTGCGTTCAGTACAATGCTGCATTCATTGTAGGTCCATTTTGTCTTAACTCTCAAGAACTATTAACTTTGTGCAGCATGGGGATGCAGCAACTTCTCAAGGACAAGATGTTAGCGATGATCAGGCAAATCCCACCGAGGAATTTCACAAGGTGCACTGAGCCGAAAACTTTATTTATTTTCTAATTTTCTTCCAATAAATAGTTTCATGGATGATTCACTTAGCAGTTTTATCTTATTCCCCCTTCACAGGATGAACCCGAATTTGAAAACCCTGAAGAAATTGTATCCGGCGAGCAAGAAGAAACGAAACCTTCGCCTGAGTTCGAGTATAGTAATCAGCAAGACGCAGAATCTGGGGAGCAACAGTATGTAAATCGAAGGAATTACCAGCACCAAAGAGGTGGTGGCCGTGGAGGCAGTGGTCGCAGGGGTTATCCAAATGGCCGTGGTGGCAGTGGCAGGGGAGGCGGTGGCTACCAAAATGGTAGGAGCAACCAATACTATGACCAGCCAGGGAACTACTACCCAAGGAACTACAACAACAGAGGAGGAAGGGGCAGCAGCAGAGGTGGCGGCACTACTGTTTACAACAACCATCCCAATGACATGGGGGTGGCCTCGTGATGATGGTATGGTGAGCAAGTGAGCGATGGCTAATCTCTTGGGTGTCATATTTTGTAGGTCGGTGCTGAAAAACCCATAGTCTCCTCTTTTCTGGGTTTTTTTGGTCGTTGTTTGGCTCTGCTGCAGCTCTGAAACTTGCTTTTGAACATGGGTTCGTTTCTAATGTTTTGATGAATCTCACTGGCGCCTATCAAAGGACACCCTAGCTCCTCAGTTTTCTTTGGGACAAACGTCCTCATTGGGTAAAACTTCATGGAAGAAAGTTCTTTTTGCTGTCTAATCAGAGAATCGATCCCTAGTTTCCTGTTGGATTGTTAGAGAAGGAAAAAAGGAGCTTTGACACTCAAGTAAGCTTGCAGTGGACAGCTCGGGATGATTGTGCAAGGCAAGGGGCGGGATACGGTCGCTCGCTCAAAAGGTTGTGAGATTCACAATCAATAGTATTTTGGGCATGATAAAAAAATGAATTAATTAGATAATTTTTTTTTGTATTAATTACAGATTGAGAATTAAAAAATTATATTAAATACATATTTTTTTAAAAATTTAAATTCTACAATAAATACAAGTCTCTCTTCTTATTTCAGCAAGTCACTCCACTTTGATCAGCTGACCTTTTTCTTGCGAAATCTTAGAATCATTGAATCAGACGCGCTCCGGCCACCTGTAAAAAATTACCACTCCGTCAATGTGCTAGTGGTACTCTACCACTACCACTGGTACTCTACCACTACCACTGGTACCACTGCCACTAGAATCAGAAGCATCCCCTACTTTCTCTCTGTCAACCGGTGCTTTTGCTCAGAACCTCTGAGAATGTTTGCATCGGTCGATATTTGATTCTCATGGTCGTGATTTTCATGCCCATGGCCATGATGATCATCGTGTGTTTCTTTTGCTCCTTTTTGGTTTCCAAATGCCCTGAAACTCGCTCTCAAACATTCACCACACTCTACGACCTAAAATATGATAAACTAACACAAGCTAGGGCAAAATTGGCAAAGGATAGGGCATTTCCAAGGTAAATGGTGAAGAAAAATCAAGAGTTGAGGGGTAAAAACATGTATAAATGAGCTTATATCAACTTGTTACCTAGACCAGACCAGACCTGTAATGAGTCGGGCCGGAAGGACCTGTCACAAAATGGGGTGGGCCGTGCCGGGACAATTTTGACATCCCTAGTAAAAACCACATTGACTCGATTTTTATTTTGGAAAGAATATAGGAAATCATTTTCCTCATAAGGGTTTATATTTTCTTCCTTGAAATACTTACTCTTATATGTATTTGTTTCTCTGGATGAATGTTCACTCTTAAATTTTTTACTACTCGATTAAGCACTTGTATCCGAAGATATTATCATATGACATAGACAAGTAGTGATACTCTAGAAAATAACATTCATAATAACTTACTAATTGCTAGATCAAATAATTTCCAAGTTTCATCCTCACCTATGTGGACAACTCAAAAGAATCTGGATCCTTCAAGTAGCAGTCATAAAATAATGGTTAGAAGAAGTTTTGTGAAACTTTATCAAATATTCTTTTCATAAACCTTTTATTTCATTTTTGTTACAATCAAAGCAAGTCGCCGAGCAAACTCGAGTGCTACCGTTCATAATAAAGAAAAAAAATCCAGTGCTACTCTTTTGCACAACAAATTGTTGCGACATTCGATCTGTTCTTATTATCCTCTGCTTTCTCTTACCCTTTTCACCATTTCAACGGAAACCACTTTGATGGAAAATAATAATAATGCTTCACAATACATTGGCATTACAAATAAATTATTTCATTAATCTGCATCTAATCCTTTGCCATTTTGGTTTCTGCGGTCCATAGCATTGCAGCCTCTATGTAGAAAGAATCCTATTCCAGTATTCCCCAGCTTGCCAATCACAACTCTGCTGCAAATTTCATTATTTTGCGGCCACTCCAGAGCTCTATATAAGAATCCTGCCCACGAAGTTACATTTCCAAGCCAGGGTGTTCTTTTCAAATAGACCAAGCAAACCAACCATACACAGCAAGTAACAGCTATGAGTTACTACAATTTCCCTCTTTTCCAGAGAAGAAGGTCGACCCTAGTAAGCTCCTTTGATTTCAAGTTCCCCAACCCTGGTGGATATAATTCACACAAGAGGCCTGCACCATCTGGGTTTGCAGAGCCACCGTCTGCAAACCAGTGGAAGCTTTACCCCGAGACATCCAGGGAGAGCTTCAAGAAGCCACCTGGTGTGGTAGAGGTTCATTCTGCAAGCCAGTGGAAGGCCTTTGTTGACGATTCCAGGGAGAATAACAAGTTGGTAAGGATACTTGATGTTTCTCAAACAGGTTTCTCGAGTTGATTGCTTGCTCTTCATCTAACTGGTTTTCTTTTTCTTTATGTTATTTGCTGCTGCTGAAGTTGGTCATACAGTTCACTGCAACATGGTGTGGGCCTTGTCGACTCATGGAACCTGCCATGGAAGAGTTTGCTGCTAAATACGCAGAAGTCATGTTCATCAAGATCGACGTTGACAAGTTGCCGGTATACAATGTCTTTTCTTGTTCAATATCTTGTTCTCTTTTGGACTTCTTTGAGACTGAATGAGACAATTCTGTAATACGATGCAGTCGGTGGCTCGCCAATATGATGTTCAGATAATGCCTGCATTTGCAATGATCAAGAAAGGGAAAGAGGTTGATAAGGTGGCAGGAGTCAAAAAGACTGAACTTCGGAACAAGATTGAAAAGCATAGGCTTTGAAGATCCAAGCATTGTCATGAATTGACTGATGAGCTTTGTAGTATCATCAGACGCATCACACAGGCAAAGGAAGCATCAGAAGAATAAAAATTAGGCCAATTGATGGCAATTATCCCCTCAGCCAAAACTAGAGTATAATCCATATTCTATAGTCATATCATTCCACTAGTTCAAAATAACCCTGGTATGTCGATTTCTCAGTCATGAACTCGGCAGACAAAACTTATGCAAAAGTTGGTATGACACCTCCCTGTTCAATATTATTCAGCTCAGATATATCTGAGCATTTTACAATCTCCACTTACAGAGTATGTAACACTTATTCAGATAAAATATCCAGATGTGAAACTCAGATAAAAAGAGGTTCTTCTTCCCCTTCATTTGCAGGGGAAGGGAGAATAAGATTAGGATTCTTGAGTATACAAAATTAAAATTACAAAGCCCAAAAGCAAATCCTGTGCATGCTAAGAGAATTATCCTAAAACAAGAGTAGGCCACATTACGCTGGAGAATATAGCTCCTTAACAACATTTTCCTTCCTACTATGCACAATCTTCTTACTTCTAACAAGAATCAGAAAAAAACGATTCTATTTACATACGACCAAACAAACTTACAATTCAGATCAGTGTCAATGGAAAAGCTTGGCACTCGCATCACAAACCACCACCCAGCACCCGTTTTAGATCGGACTTCTGTTCAGCTGTCAATCTTGATGGGAACTTGACATCAAACTTGATTCTGAGGTCCCCTCTATTGTTAGGCTCTTTAGAGATAGGCATTCCTTCATTCGCAATCACAACTTCATGGCCCGGTTTAATGACCTCATCCACCGGAACCGTGAGGAATCTCCCATCCAAGGTTGTCAACTCAACAGTCTTCCCAGAGAGAGCTTCTAGCAGGGAGACCTTTTGATGAACCACGAGATCATTTCCATCCCGCTTGAACAGAGCATGTGGCTTCTCATCCACCACGAAAATGAGATCAGCTGGACTAACACCAGGCTCCTGATTGCCTTTCTCAGGGAATGTGATCTTTGTTCCTTTCTTCCACCCGGGTTTGATATCTATCTTTAGGATCTCCTCCACGGCCTTTGGCTTGCTGCGCAAGGGGAGAAAAGGTAGTTGTGTGAAACCAAAGCAATAACATGAATAGTTTTGAACAACATAGCAATAGCATAGCAGTTTAGGAATATAAATTTCTATTCATTTAGCCGGCCGGCCAGCCTATGATAAATAATCCATCAAGTCATACAACTCCCTATGCCTTCTCTTCTTTCTAATTCTCTATTGAGCAAAAACCCAATTGGCCAAAAGCTACAAAAGAATGTGAGAAACTGCGTAAGCAGATTTGGTTTTAATCTTAACTAGAGAGGCTACAGTCTACAGAGCTGGAGATGAACATGGAAAGTCGAACACACTAATCAAACATCAACCCAGTTGAGACAAGATATTTTTATATATGAATTTCAATTTACATTCCCAAAAAGAATCAACTAAAATGAATAGAAAGGGAAACATATAGACCAGCCGACCATTGATGAACTCAAAGCAGCATCCCTGTTTTTTCCCCTTTGATAATGATTTTTTACGAAAGAGGCAAAGTCGCAGATTTCGAAAAGTGAGACAGAAAGGGAAAGGAAAGGGGTGGAATTTGTTTATAACTAACCCGAATTCATCAGGAACGTTGCGGGAAATCTTCATCTTCCTTTTTGCCCCTTTATAGAGCTCCTCCAAGCTACAACCCAATTTGCTCTCAATCGCCGGAGCTTTCTTCTTCCCCTGATGATGGTGACTCTCCCCATTCCTCCGATGACTATGATTATGGTGACTCCTCCCACTTCCCCCGCCGCCGCCAGATCCACCGAAGAATTCCGCGAATATATCCTCGGCATCGCGGGGATTGAACCTGAATTTCGTATCCCCGGAAGGAGCATCGTCGGGCGGAGGGAAATCAAACGTCTTCAGGCCTTCCTCCCCGTACAGATCATAGATCTGCCGCTTCTGGGGATCGCTAAGCACGTCGTACGCTTCGGAGACCTGCTTGAATTTCGCCTCCGCCTCTTTCTTGTTCACCAGATTCTTGTCCGGATGCCATCGCATCGCCAGCCGCCGGTACGACTTCTTCAGGTCATCCTCCGTCGCATTCTTGGCCACCTTCAGCAACTTGTAGTAATCCACTCCCATATCTCTCTCTGTCTCACTTTCCCTCTCTTTCTCTCTCCTTCGATCCCAAAACCAACTGAATTGCGTCCCCACTAACGGAGTTATAATGGCGGAATTTTGTTCTTTTTTGTTTTTTTCTTGTTTGGCTGGCTGAGCGATTCGAGTCTCTTCTCATTCAGACAGCCAAGATTAGCGGCGGGTCGGCCGGAGCCCGGAGGAGTGAGCTGGAAGAGTATAGCCAAGCTAGCCAAGTCGATTGAGGAAGAAGAAATGTAGGGAGAGAGAGAGCTTGTTTTTTTCTTTTCTTTTTTAGGGCGCAGTCAGCAGGTTGCAGTTTTGACTTTTGATAAGCGCGTCTAAGTTTTCACGTCACAGCTCATGACGTAGTAGAATCCGCGACGGATGAATGAGATGCCGCCACGCAAGGAGGATGTACTAATCGCAAATTGCAGTGTGCGGTTAGTTGTGGTTAATCGCAGTAGTCGAAAATAATGGAAACAAAAATCGAAAAAATGAATTTGGTGTAGATGTTGTCGATCTCCAATATGGGAAAAACAGAGTGGATTGGATGGGATTCACGTTGAAAGAGGGTTGGTGGTGGTTAGACTCATCGAAATGAAACCTTTCTTATTGGGTCGGGGCAAATAATCTATGTAATATGCGGTTAGTTATACGATTAGTTTGTTATTCGGTGTAATTTGTGTTACTCCACAAACCGCAAAATGACCATACTGCTAACCGCGGCGGTATAAGACCCCCTTTAAACGATTTGCGGTTAACCACTAACCGCGCTTATGGAATTGGGCTTCATATAGCTGGGAACCGAGTATCTGGAGCTGAGTTTCGATTTATGTGTTCTTGAATTTGGGTATGCACCGTCGCCTCCGAGATTTGTCCGCTCGTGGCCTGACTTTCGATCTGGGTTGGAGAAGAGGGATGGCAGGCGATAGGAGTCAGAGGGAGATTGTTTTACCAGGTGATGTTCATTGTGGTGGCGAACAGGGGCAACGCCGGGTTTAGTAGGTAGCGAAGAACAGAGCCTGGAAATCAAGCTGCCATGGGGGGTTTGCATATGTAAAAGGGAGTTTGATTTGATTCTGCATGTTCGATTTGAGGTTGTCGAAGTCTCAATCCTTAAATTGTGTATATAAACTGGTTTAATCCTTTGAATCAATATCTTTTTCTCATTGTTTGCCATGGATTGTTGTTTGGTTACTCTTGGTTTGTTGCTTTATTGCTGCTACTGCATTGAAACTTCTGGGAAGGCTGAGGAACTCTAATCTTTGAGATGGGAGATAGAATCATGGTTAGGTGTTGCAACCGAAAAGAGGGGACATATGTGGGTTTGGTAGGGCTGGGAAATCGGGTTCGGGTTTTCGGGTTAACCCGAAATCGAACTGATAATTGTTCTGTCGGTTTCGGGTTTTTCGGGTTCAACCCGAAGTATGAGTGTGACGGTTTCGGTTTTGACTTACAACTGGGAACCGATAAGAACCCGAAACTCGAATCCGTCGATTGGGTCTCTCACGGTGAAACGGAAATCGATTTGTTACTGAAGAAGAAGAAGATCAAGTCCACTTCATTCGAGATCCGTCCAATCCCTTCGCCGCTTTTTGGGTTTTTGTTACTGGGTTCCTCTTTTATGTCGTCGGCGACAAGATGGGAGACTCAGCTCTCTCCAATCCCCCTCTTTGACTAAGGGCAAACGATTCCAGCCGCTGATCGACCCATCAACGACGAATGGACATAAGCAGACCGCAGACGTCGAGATCAACGATTTACCCAGCAAATCCTCTGCTTTCGAAGCTCCCCATATCTCAGATCTACAGAATAAGGGTAGAACTGAGACATTAAAAATGTTATCACAGAAGCAAGCCGAAGAAGCAATAGTCTCTCGAGCTTCGACGAAACCATCCCTGTTTCTGACCTGCCGGCAAAAATCTGGACGGGAAAGAAGCAGAGCACGATGACGAAAGATTTTTTTAATGGAAGTGAAAACTTTGATGTCACTTCTGATGTCTGTTTGTCGGTTTCGGGTGACCAAAAAGCGAAAATGATATTTTCAGGTTCGGGTTCGGGTTGCAGTAAATGCATGTTTAGGGTTTCGGGTTTTGTGATTTTCGGGTTCGGTTAACTGACCCGACCCGAACCGACAATCCTGGGGTTTGGAGAAGCACTTCATATGATAATTAACATCAACAGGAGCATTATATTTTTATGCTTGCCTATGAGAAAGATCATAACCTGTCTGTGATTTATTTCGTGTTGGCTTTAGTTGGTAACATCAAGAGGAACTAATCAGAATCATGGGAGTCCTGATATAGTGTTGCCGGACTAATCACTTAGTCCCAATAATTGGTTGGAAAAGGCATAGTTAAACCTTTTAACCTCTTATATAACAATGATGATCTTCATGAAAGCAAAGAAGTGCCTACTCAAGTAAGTGCGGCAATCAACAATTGATTTATCAGCTGACTTTCTACGGACGAAGAACACGAACTAAAAAACACAGGAAAGAAAAATAGAGAGGTCCGAAAAAGTTAAAATGCTTACAAGGTGTTTTGTAAGCATATACTTACACGACCCAAATCTTCTTCACGTGGGCTCAGCTGTGATCTAAGGGTTGAAGGAGGCGGGCTCTTTTTGGCTCACTTAAGTGAGCTTTTGTGGACTTTTTTCACAAGCTGACACAGCAGATTGAGCCGATGGAGGTGGCTCCGCGTCCACTTGAGAAATAAAGGGAAGAGATAAGACTAACTCCAACCAACAAAGGGGAATTTGGCTCCCCAAATAGTCAAATATGACTTTTTAGCTCCCCAAACTCCATTTTCACTCCAATACTACAAAAAGCTAAATTTAACTTTCCACCTCCCCTTTTCAATTTATTTCAATAAACCATACTTATTAGACCTCCAATTTTTATATTTCACTTTAATTTTTTCATAGTTCGTTATTACTTTTTAAAACAAAATTTTCGATGTAATTTTTTTTTAAATTCCGAGACAATTTTTTTTTTTGGAAAATTAGTCGTTAATTTCAGGACCACTCCAAATATGATTATTTTTGTAGCCGTTACTTTACGACCGTTTTTTGTCATTTTCTGCACCATATGTCTTTATAAATGACAGTTCTTCATTTTTATCCACTCAACTGACACTTCTTCCCATTTCTAAAACAAACACATTCATCATGAGTATCTCAGATAGCTCGTTGTCTGGAGGAGAAAAAGAAATCGAAGAGTATGAAAGGTTTCACCACCTACGTTTGAGTTTGATCGGCCGGAGCCTAGCTGAAGGTTCATCAAGTCGACATCACATTGATCGTGAAAGGGTCGAATGTAACCGACGTCTTATGAGGGATTACTTCGATCCAAATCCAGAATACAATGCTCACATGTTCAGAAGGCACTATAGGATGCAGCCAAGATTATTCCATCGCATTATGGGCGACATTGTGAGGTTTGACCCCTCATTTTCTCTAAGGCGTGATAGCTTTGGTCAAACGTCACTATCTTAGAGCAAAAGCTTACTGGTGCGATCGCATGCTAGCATATGGTTCTCCAGCTGATCAACTTGATCAGTATGTTCGTATGGGTGAGAGCACCTTGATGGACGTCTTTAGAAAGTTTTGCAACAACATTATCAACATGTACGAGGCCACATACCTTCACGCACCTACTCCTGCTGAGTTAAGGATATTACTACATAAAGCCTCAAGTCGTGGCTTTCCTAGAATGATTGGATCAATTGGCATGCATTGGGAATGGAGGAATTGTCCAAGTGGTTGGGCAGGACAATACACTGACCACATGCATAGGCCAACAATCATTCTGGAGGCGGTGGCCTCCTACAACACATGGATATGACATGCTTTCTTTGGGATACCTGGATCGAACAACGATATAAATGTTCTAGGGATGTCTCCGGTGTTTGATCGTATCGTCAATGGAAGCGCTCCACATGTATGATTTGAGGTAAATGGTCATGCTTATGATCGATGTTATTATTTGGCTGACGATATTTATCCCTCATGGTCGACTTTAGTGAAGACCTTCAGCAATCCAAGGTCAAACAAAGAGGCTTTGTTTGCTCAACATCAAGAAGCACACTGTAAAGATGTAGAGAGGGCATTTGGAATCCTCCAAACAAGATGGGCAATTGTTCGTGGCCCTGCAAGAGCTTGGGATGTTGTCACGCTTAACAATATAATGATGACGTGCATTATATTACACAACATGATAATCGAGGATGAGCAAGTTGATTTTGATGACGAAATGGATGATGACCTTGATTATGAGGTCCATGAACAACCTGGACCAATCAACCGACACCTTCCAACTCTAATTGATTACTTGGCTAGAAATAACAGGCTTCATCTACAACACATCATGCGCTTAGAAATGACTTGGTTGAGCATCTTTGGAATTTGCACGGCAATATCTAGCATTGTTTTACTTCATGTTGCTTGGTTGTTTGTGTAACACCCCATTTTCAGGTTAGGGTTCGATTAAGGTTCGACTGAACGTTTGGATCGACGGTTACGTACAAAGAGTTACAACCGCAGATTAGGGATAATATTAATAATAATAATTATTATTATATTATTATTATTCATTAAAATAAAACCCTAAACGTCCCCAACCCCTACCAAAACCCTTATATTCTTTTTTTTTAACCACTAAATCACCACCGCCGGAGGAGTTGTCCACCTCTCGCCTTTCCGCGCGTCGCCCGCAGCCCTGCACCCTGCAAAATTCAACCGAGGAAGACGACGCTCGACCGGATAAGCAACAACCTCTTCACGCCGCCACGACACCCAGTCTCTTCTTTTTTCCTTCACACCTCTGTGAACAAGAAATCAATCTTCTACCCCAGCCTTTATTCCGCGGTTCGTTGGGATTGTCTACACCTCGACCCCGGCGACGACAACTTGGCGCCTTAAATTGGTCTCGAAGATGGATTTCGTGGTCCATACTAACCATACCCATGAAGGGTTTTACTCGCTTTAACACTTTGACACCGCTACTAGGCATGGCGGGTCTTTTGGAGGTAGGGCAAATACTAGAACTAGATCAAGGTCCAGGGTTTCTGTGGGGACTGTAAAGCTGAGAAAAGGTAGAGTTCTTGCTGCTTCTCATGTAGAAACTCTGCATTCCAATGGGAGAGCTTACACTTCAGATAAACAGACAAATGGGTTGTCAACAATTATAGAGATGGATGGATGGATAAATTATTCAAGGGGAATGGAAGCTTGAGGTGGATGATCGGGTAAAGAGAATTTTGGAAGCACCCAGGATGGAGCTTGCTTGTGCACTCAAAGTAAACGAGGGCTCAGGGCGATCAACCGTTGGATGATGGTTAGTTCAAGTAAATTGACTTGATAATAAGGTGAGTGTAAAGGGGGTAAATTCTACACCTTACGATTTTCAAGTAATTGGCTTGAGTATTTTCGAGTATTGCTTTACGTGATGTATGTGCAGTATTTGATTCATGTTTGAGATTGCATGATTATGATTGATGATATGTGCTTTACTTGAGCTATGACTTGAATTAAATATTTATGAGCTTATCGTTACTTTGAAGCTTTACTTTTATGAGTTGAAGTTTAGGAGCCAAGTTCTCCTTTTTAAGAAGAAACTCACCTTAAAGAAGGTGAAGTCGTTTTAAGTGTTTTTAGTCACTAGCGCGAGTCCGTTGCCATTTGAGATTTTCAGATAGAGCAGCAGTTATGCTCTTGAGATCTTTGAGACAGAGCAGCAGTTATGCTCTTGAGACTTTTAAGATGAGCAACAATTATGCTCTTGAGAATCATGGTGAAGTGCCACCACGATAAGTTTAAGATGTTAGGGGATGAATCGTTACGACTTCCCTAACTAAGTTTACGTTTAAGGAAAGCCTGAATGGCTTCTCATATGTATGAGTTGGCAACCGGACTAGCTAGTGAGGGATCCCAGTGTCAGTCAAGTATTTAAGTCGAGATTTGAGCTTTACGAATGGAGAGTAACAGTAACTCCCATACAGTTTTAAGAGTTAGAAATTTTAAGAGTGGAAGTACAAACAACTTCCACAAATTTAAGTAGGTGTTTTAAGTAAAGTACTAAACAGTAAGAATTTTGAACGTAAGGGCGTAGACTGACCCCATCTAACTCACCAGTTTGAAGAGCTAGAGGAAGAGCTAGAGGAGCATTTAGTGAGCAGCAAATTCGAGGGCAGGCAGCTAGAGGAGGGCAGTATAAGCGTCACAGAGGATGCTTGGTCAAGGTTTCGGTAGCAACAACATTAGATATTATTAGTTATTTACATTTATGATCATGAGTATAAACTGGAGATCAGATTGAGATTTTAAAGTTTGAGTTTAATTTGCCCACGTGTTAGGGCTTTGCTTTGAGCTACAAGTGTGTGTTTTCAGTATTTTATTTATGAAAATTTTTCCCGCTGCAATTTAAGATTTGATTATTTTATTTATCAAGGGCATTTTAGTAAAATTAGTGCCCGGCCGGGTTAGGGTGTTACAGTTTGTATTTCAAGTTTCAGTGTGTGATTGTATTTCATTTTTCAATAAAGTGTGAAGAGTAATTAGTTCAAAGTTTCAATAACACTTGTTTTTATTACACATGGAAACAACAAAGTTGAAAGAGAACACACAACACATTAAAGCAGTAAAGAGAACACACAACACATTAAAGTAGCAAAGACAATAGAGTACACATAGGACCTTGTTCTAATTATAAATATGTGACAGGAAAGTAATCGCCATCTCCTCGACCACTTTCATTTCCATCTCCTCCACCACTTGCATCTCCATCTCCGCCATCACTTGGATAAGAGTTGGGATCATCTTGATCGTACCCATAAATATCATTTTGTTACGCCTCCAAAATCTCTTCTTTCTTGGGGTCATCTTTGACAAATCCTTCTCTAGAATAGCCATATTTTGTTGAATTATTTTGGCTTCCCTCTCTTTCTTCTCAACAACCAACTTTTTCGCTTCACGCTCCCTCACTTGCCTCTTGTATGCCCGTTCCTCTTTCTCCTGCTCTAGTCTTCTCTCTTGAACATTCATTTTTCTGTTTTCGTACTCCATCCTCGACTTTTGCCTCTCTCTCATATCATTACCAAACTCCAGCAGTTGAGTAGTGTAAATGTCAGACGATTCAGCAACTACCTTACCTTTCTTCTTAGCTTCCTTTTGTTTGTCGCGTCGTTTAAGGCGAGTCAACACGAAAGGCGTAGCTCCTTCATCTAGTAAGTCATCAAGGCCTTCCACGGGAGATGATTGAGAATCAAAACCTGTGGGAGAACTTTGGTAACCTTGCCTCATAGGTGGAATGGGACTAACAAGCAGTTCAAGATTGCATTACCATTTTGGACAATCTCGAAGAATGTCAAAATAATGCTCAAAAGCAAAAGCCTTGTTCCCATTCTTTTGCTTATATATTGCTCTTCCATCCTTTTCCTATTAAAATAATTAGTACATGGGTTAGAGAAGTTTTCATTACACATAAAAAATAAGAAAATAACAAGTTTAGGGTCCAAAAGAATACCACATCAAATTGGTTCGTGCCACTCGATTGATGCCTTTGTGCTCTTTGCAAAACTCACTTTCAATGATTGCAGTGATAGCTAATAATCCTCATTCGGGATTCCATTGCAACAGCAGTACGAGTTGTAGTAGGATACCAATTTTGATGTTCTGCCGCCACTCTTTCCCACAAACTTGTAGACTTTTGGTTGGTGCCAACCGCTCCATCTTCTGATATCGACACCCAAGCTCTGCATAATATTTCATCTTCATTCGGACGCCAATTAGGTCCTCTCTTGCCTGCCATTTTTCTATTTTGAGAGGATAACAATTGAATTTTGAGAGAATGCGATTTAAGCTCCGAGAATGAGTGAAGAGAAACTATGAAGAGTGTAGTAATATATAAGAAGAAATATGGCCATTAAAATATGACCGTTTTTCATCACTACGTCAATTTAAATTCACAAAACATCCATTTAAATTCACACCACAACAACCAATTGGAAGCATGTATCTCACAAATGACTCAATGGAAATTGGAGATCAAGAGCTTGTTTTAAAGATAAAGTTACCATATTTCCAATGGTATGCTTTGTGGATCGAGAAGAAGTCATTAAGGTTGTTTCCCAAGGCCTCAACGTTGCTACCTCAAAACTGGAAAACTGCCAGAAAATGACTTAGTATGGAAACTGTTTTGTGAAGCCTACTTTGGAGCTTAATTCGAGGAGTATGGATCCGATTCAAGTCCAAATGCTCCCACAAAATGAAACTAGGTATGTTTATATACAGAGGGAAGGAATTGGATGAAGGATTGAAGTTCTGGAAGGCCTCGGCATGAAGTTAGTACAAAAACTGTGTTTTCTGGCAGTTTGCTTGTGCTAAAAGGCAGGTTGCTTGTGCTTGAAGAAAGGGGAATTCTGGCAGGATTTTTAGTCCTTTTTAGAGTAGATTTTTACATTAATTGTTTCCTTGTTAGTTTAGAATTGTATTAGGTTTATTTGGCTATAAAAGCCCTCTAGTTTTTGTTGTAATACTTAGAGTTGATTGAGTTGAATACAAACCGTGTGTTTGAGTTCTTGAGTTGCGTCTCAAGAGTTTATCCATTGTCTTTAGCTTCGAGTGGATTCCTTAGCTAATTACGAGACCCTTGTGAGGCTATTCTGAGTGGATTCCAGAATCGTTTAGCAAGTTCTCTTATCAATCGATTAATCACCTCGATTCTTGCGAGAATTCTACCTTTCCGTCAAATATCATTCGATTGTTTGTGTGAGCTGCGTATTATGATCAAAAGCACCCCTGGTGCTTTATCAGGTGGTATCAAGAGCCCGGTTCAAGTCAACGGCGAAAAGAATTGAAGGCTGAGTTTCGTACAAAAAAATTCAGCACGAAATAGAGCAACAATGGCATTGGAGGAGCTAGCACGTTCGCTGGTATTCACACGTTGTTTAATCGAGCAGCAGCTGTGCTTGGTTCTCATTGATGGAGGCAGGAAGAGGAATTTGATTTCCTCTAGGGTTTTGAGCAAGCTTGGGCTGCAAACACAGCAGTAAGTGATCTCTTGGATGTATATAAGAGGCCTAGAGGGGATCGAGCAGCGCCCGGCTCTGCCGTTGCGGCCAACTAATCGAAGACGCTGATGAAAATGATGAGCCATTAAGTACTAACTGGTGGAAGTGCTTGCTAAGAAAAAGTAATCATATAATCGTCTCAAGTTTGGTTTAGATGCCTTCTTGGCTTAACTTTTTTGTCTTTAGGGTTCTTGTTGACGGGACCAAGTAGTCTTTCTTCGAAGTTCTTCTGCTTGGTTCCTTTGTGTCTATCTATCTAGCGGCTATATATGGAACCTAGTCATGTACTTGGTCCACTATCAATCTATTGCTTCAAAATGTTCCTATCATTATGCTTTCTTGAGACTTGGAGTCATTGTCTGTGAGTTTAATGTTTCTAATTAAGTGACAAATAGAAATCAAGAGACTCAGATTTGATTATGATATATCTAATGGCCCACAACACACCGGTATGGACAACAATTAAGAAAATACAAGTGTCTTCACCGCAAATTTTAAAGATTAAACATTTGAACAATTGTCCTACAAAGCAACCTAACCACGAAAAAGTACATCGATAATCCAAACAATTCTTTCACAAAACACTAACTATTCGACAAAATTATTATATAGTAGTTTTACAAGGGGTCCTAAACAACTACCATAGTGCCAAAAGTCTAATGTTTCTTGATCTAGAAATATGGCTATATGGTCCCGGGAAGGAGATTGGGCTCCTTTTTAGTTTTTAGCATGATTCTTGGGTTCTGGTGGCGAGATTTTGTGAGGATCGTTTTAGGGTTGTTGCAGCCTCTCAATCCTCGAATAATGACTTTTTATGTGGATGATAGTGATGTTGGAGTATCCCCTAACATAGCAACTTTGGAGGACATGGTAGGGCTTCACTTCCTAGGTGTCCGGATGATCTCTCTTCCTCTTCCAAAGTAAGGTCGTACATTTACATGCCTTCAAGTAACAAATTCAACGAATAAGGGCTTGGCCTAGTGGTAACAACACTAGCGTAGAACCTGTAGGTCTCATATTTGAATCCCTTAAGTAGTACCTTAATGACAAAAAAGAAACCTATATCACCTTTATAAAAAAAATAACAAATTCAATGATTTAAAAAAAGAACATGAAAATGAAGGAAAAAGCCTATTGGAAAGAGTGAATCTAACAGTGGACAACAAAGGCCTAAAGCTGCAAAGCACGGATCTAGTCCAAACACATGGACAAGCCCACCCCTAATAACTCTAATCCAACGGCCAAGACAGCTCCGCCTTCAACAACCCTGTCGACAGAGGAGGTAGAGAACGACTCCAAACACCAGAGGCTCCCCCTGAAGGACGAAGCACATGCAAGAAGAAAAAAGCACCCAACGCGTCGGGGAGAACCTGATGATGAACTCGTACGATGTAGGAGAGTTGGGCTTTGGGGGATTAGACTTTCAGATGTTTGGTATGGGTTTCGTAGTTAGCTAGGGGAGAAGAACGTGTCAATAATCTACTGATCAATAACCATGCGTGATCCAACCACCATCTGCCACATCAGCACCCCTTGCTACTTATGGAAGGTCTTTGATCTTTTCTCCTTTAATTTTTAATGAATGATTTCTCTCTCGTTTTAAGTCGGAATTTAAAATTTTTTGCACATATAAATCAGATTAATTGTGCACTTCAAAATGATATACACATTGATATATTTTTTAAACAAAGAAAAATCGAGACTTTTTTTACCAGTCTATACCATAGTGTTATTGATTGGTATTAAATAAGAGCATACCATATGGTATGAAAACATATCATGGTGGTATGAAAATAACAGACTTTAGGATGGTTGAATACATGATATTAGGAGTATACTAACTGTCATTTATGACTTTCAACATTGTGTATCACAAGATACCACCCTCATATCAGGGTGGTATGGTGTGGTATTTTTTTATCCTGGATTTTTTATCCCGAAAATTTGTAGATCCAATAGATCATGATGAACTTGCTCCTTCTGTGCAAATATTTTAAAAAAGGACTTAAAAATGTAGGAGATACCATATGGTATGGAGTTCATAAAGAGAGGTATGCAATTTTTGTTCTAAAAAAATATTAAAAATGGATATCATTTTGTAGAGCATAACGAACTCGTTCCATCTGTACAAAAAAAAATTGAAAATCCTAGTTAGAACAACCAAGATAAGAGTCGATTAAGAAAAATAGCAAAAATAAAAAAAAAATCCCATTAATTCTCAACTCTTAGATATGAATTTTCTGGGCTCACTTAAATCCAAAGGTATAGATTTATCTATGGAAAGGTCCATAACCAAGGGCTATGCACCCTATCCTGAGTCGTTAGCTAGCATGGGTTGTATGGGCCGAGTAGTATTATGAGGCTACTAGGATTCTTCTTCCTTTTGAATGCCAATTTCCCCTAGGTTATTAAGAGGGAGTTTGGACATAGTAATGTTAATTAGTAGGGTTTGCGTATTATATAACTCATATTGTTCCAATTTGGCACAAAGACTACCATGTCAGCATGGTTGTCTCAACCTCAAAACACCACATTTGTCACCAGGTTGGCTATGACCATTTTTCTGCTTCACAAAAAGCATTTGCACTAAGTGTATTGTCCATACAAGAGCCTGCTTCTTATGCTGAGGCTTCTAAAGATCCTCAATGGAATCAAGCTTGTAAAGAAGAAATCTATGCCTTGTATGAGAACCAGACATGGGAAGTAGTGAAGTTACCTCAATGAAAGAAGCCTATAGGTGCAAAATGGGTGTTTAAGGTGAAGTACGGATCTGATGGCACAGTTGAGAGGTTCAAAGCACGCTTGGTTGCTAAGGGTTATACTCAGTTCTATGGAATAGACTTCCTGGACACCTACTTACCAGTAGCAAAGATTAACTCAGTTAAAACATTGCTAGCATTTGCTGCCTGTAAGGATTCCTCCATGGAGACTTGGATGAAGAAGTATACTTGGAAATACCACCTAGAGTTGATGTCCCTAAAGATTCGGGTCTTATATTTAAGCTTAAGAAATCTTTGTATGGTTTAAAACAGGAAAGCAGACAGTGGTTTGCAAAGCTTATCAGTGCTTTGCTGAAAAATGGTTATTCACAGACAGCATCTGACTACTCAATGTTTGTGAGATGGATTCAAGGAAGAGTAGTGGTTGTTCTTGTCTATGTAGATGACATTCTAATTGTTGGCAGTTATCTAGGGGACATAGAACAGTTAAAGAAGTTCTTATGCAAGGAATTCAAGGTTAAAGACCTTGGTCAAATGAGCTATTTCCTAGGACTGGAAGTCATCAGAGATCATAAGGGAATCTCGGTCAGTCAAAGGAAGTATTGCTTAGAGTTATTAGATGATACATGTTTTGTGGAAACAAAAGGTTGTTTATCTCCTGTTCATTGCAATGTTAAGTTTTATGCAGATCAAGGAGAGTTAATGGCAGATCCTGGTGTCTACAGAAGACTGATAGGAAGACTGCACTATCTCACAATTACAAGACCTAATGTAGCCTATGTTGTCCAACAGCTTGCTCAATTTCAAGCTGCTTCTTGTGTAGAACACCTACAAGCAGCACATAGAGTGATCAGATACTTGAAACACACACTAGGTCATGGCTTAATCTTCATATAGATTTCCAAGTTAGAGTTGTCTGGCTACTGTGATGCAGACTGGGAAAGTTTTCCAAATTCCAGGAGGTCTCTAACTGGGTATTGCACCTTCCTAGGAACCTCATTGATCACCTGGAAGACCAAGAAGCAAACTACAGTTTCCAGATCATCTTGTGAAGCTGAGTATAGAGCTCTTGCTCAAGAGGTTTGTGAAGTCCAATGGTTAATGAATCTGTTGATAGAGATGAGAGTTAAGGTACCCTTGCCTATTCCATTGTTTTGTGATAATGAATTTGCTATGCGCATCGCTGAGAACCCAATATTTCATGAGAGAACGAAGCATATTGAAATTGATTGCCATGTTACTAGAGAGAGGTTGAAATCTGGGTTGATTAAGTTGCTTCGTGTGAGAACTAATGATCAAGTTGCATATTTTTTTTACGAAAGGAATGACTCATTACAGACTTAAGATTAGGTTGGACAAGCTGAGAGTGTGCAATGCTTACTCGCCAGCTTGTGGGGGAGTATCAAGTGAAGAAGATGAAGTCGAAGACTTACAGAAGTGAAGAGAAAGATGCAGAGCTGCTCGACATTGAAACCTCACCCAGAAACGTTTCGCTTATGGGTTCCCTCCACTCAACTTAAACAAAGAGACAAAACGACATCGCAGTGGAGTCTCGGGATTTACCGTTGGGTGGATGTTATTGTGACGAATGATAGGAAGCCACGTGCTGTTTTACCATTTTGTTATTTAAATTTTTGTTTTACATTTCCAGTTTTACTCTGTATCTTCAAGAGCACATTTGAGGTTTCAGTATAAAAAGAAAGGCACAGAGAGATCCTTGCTCTTGTGTGTTTGCCATTTCGTGTTGACGTCCCTTCCGCTAAACCCTAGCTTCAACTAGTTTTCACGGTAGCTTCAACGACGAGGTTGCAGGGAGCTCAAACAACAATCAATGACGAAGAATCGACGTTCAAGGATCCTCAAATCCTGTTTCGGGCTCGTGTTAGAGGTAAGGGATCGAATTCCCAACGTATAACACGAACCAAGGATGGATTTATCGAGTTCGTGCTTGTCCTGCATTTTAGCAACGGTTCTGCAGTTTTTTGGTGATGAAAATACCGTCACTAAAGATTGCAGAAAATTTCCAGATTAGTCCTCCTAGATTTAAATGGAACGATTTGGTCCCTGAACTTTAGTATTTTACCAGAAATGCCCCAAATTTGTTATTTGATAAAACAAATTTCTTACATAAACTAAATAGTAGGAGTTTTAGTGATTAGTAATAAATTACTAATTCAAAGCTTGGAAGGTAACCTCATAGATTGGTTACGTTGATGGAGATTGTGATCAATAGCGGAATTTTATAGTTAAGATAT